TGCCGCCTCTTCTCGCGGGTCTGCCTCTCCTTCTGTTTCCGGATCTGGCTCTTGAACGGGTCGCTGTGCTTGGGTTCCTGGGGCCCGCAGTACAGCCGATCCCGGCGGAGCTGCAGGAGGTCCTCCTGGGCTGGGACACAGATCATGGCGTGCGGCTCGGGGCTGCCCTTCCCGGGCAGGGACAGGCTGACCCACACCAGGGCCCTGGGGAAGCGGGCCAGGAGGGACCGGCGGGCCTCTGCGGTCAGTTCTTGCTGCCCCCTGCCGGGAGCTCGCCGGGCCGCCGCACGGCTGTCCCCAGGACTGGGCCGGCACCAGGCTGACAGCTGCTTCAGCGATGCTCTACTCCTACACGTTTGAGGGTATTTTGTTCAAGGAGAAAATATGCAATTAGAAAATTAGGCATAGCGAGAGTTAATTTTTATACTCTGTGGGAAAGCATCAAAACTCCATTAATGTTTTTAAGAAATTAAAAATTAACATTAATGCATTTTTGTATTCATATTTTACTTTTTATGTGTCTACTGTTCTGAGAAAGACTAAAGGTTTAAGAAGTTGAAGGCAGAGAAAAATAAGACAGTGGGGTAGAATCTAAGGCTGTAATCACAGTGAGAGGATTAAGGAGGAACTGATATTTTGATTAAAAAGAAACTCTATGGGCCCTAGCCGGTTTGGCTGTGGATAGAGTGTCAGCCTGCAGACTAAAGGGTCCTGCCTTCCATTCCGGTCAACGGCACATGCCCGGGTTGCGGGCTCAATCCCCAGTAGGGGGCACGCAGGAGGCAGCCAATCAATGATTCTCTCTCACCACTGATGTTTCTATCTCTCTCTCCTCCCTTCCTCTCTGAAATCAATTAAAAATATTTTTTAAAAAAAGAATTCTAAAGAAGTTACATGGGAAAAAAGTATAAGGCAAGAGGGGTGAGTGCTTCTTATAATAATCAGACAAATAAATAAATAAATAAATAAATAAATAAGTATCCGAATAAAGGGTAACTGATAAGCAAAATCTAATGCCTGCAGCAGGACTGAGTAGAACACATGTTATCGTCTATGATATGACAGTATCACAATGAATCGGTACCCAATCGGCCACAAATTCAGATCATCCAAAAGGAATGACAAGAAATCGAATTCAGTGATTTAAAGCAAACAGTGCTCGCTCGGAGTTTGCAGGGGTCGTCACCTCACATACACTCGTGAAAGCACTGCTTTGTGAGCAGACTAACTGAAACGTGTCGGTAGAAAAGAACTCTTGGTTTGGGTCTATGGATGACAATTTTTCAAATCAGTTCGTAAGTCAGCGTCTAATGTGATGTAGCCGTTTCCATGGGGTCTCTCTGAGTCCAAAACTTCACTTGGGCCTTGCATCAAGGAACAGTGGTTACGTTTACACCTGTAGCCTGGCTGGCATTAAAAGAGATGACCTAGAACATATCCGGAAGTCGTGTGCACTCACCTGAGAACACAGAGGAGTTGGCCACGGGCATCCTGGCCCGGTACCTGCTCAGTCCCGGCCTGGGCTGGACACTCTGTGTCCATCGCTCCCTCGGGCTCACTGGAGTCGTGCAGGGCTGTGCCCCCTCCACCAGACCCCTGAGCAGCTTGTCCAGGCGTGGGAGCACAGGGCGCCTGGTCTCTCGAGTCGCTCTCCCCACCACTCGGGGAGGAAGCTCCGGACAGTTCCTCTTGGGCCCGGACTCTCGATTCCCAGTCTCGCGTTAACTGCTCCCAGGGCAGGCAGAACGGCGCCAGAGTGCCCAGCTTTACGTAGTTGGGCCGTTTTGCAGGAGGGCGTCTAATGAAAACCGAAGAGGAGAGGCAATTCTGAATAATTTAGGATGGGGCGATTAAAATAACTATAGCCACTGTACTATATCTCTATTTAAGAAAACAAACATAGAAAATAAAGTTTTCTAAGATATATAATCTATATATATAAAAGCCTAAGCGACCATTACAACCAAATGACCGGTCGACCATTCGCTATGATGTACACTGACCACCAGGGGGCAGACGCTCAAAGCAAGAGCTGCCCCCTGGTGGTCAGTGCGCTCCCACAGCCAACCTCCCGCGGCCCCTCCCCCCTGCCAGCTGGCAGCCTCCTGTGGCCCCTACCCCCAGCCAGCCAACCTCCCCAGGGCCCTTCCCCCCCAGCCATCTGGCCCCCCAATAGGCCTTGATTTCCAGCCAGGCCGAGGGACCCCACCTGTGCATGAATTTGTGCACCGGGCCTCTAGTAAAGATTAATAACCAACTGCACTAGCCATGCTTTTCTGTTTCCTCTGGTTTTTATTTTAATAGATGAGTCCACCAAGTAGCCCCCTGTGGCCACTGCACAGCCCCAGGGAGTGCCATTCCCAGAGACCGCAAGGGCGCGTCCCGGAGCCGTGCAATGACGCCCGTGCGCGTGGACGGGCTCTCGGCTCTCAGGGCACAGGGGTGGCGGTGAGGTTTCCCTCTCACTCTTGACCCCCAGTGACCAGCTGCCCTCCGGAGACAGCATCAAAGTCAGTTTCTCACACATCCTTCCAGAGACGCATCATGTGCACAGAGCAGATACGTACATACTTCTTTCACTTTTACCCATGTGTACACAATGGTGGCACACCACATAGGCTTTTTTGCTTAACTCTACTTTTTTCACTTAACAAAATACCTTGGAGATCATTTCACCGGTACATCAAGAGATCCCCATTCTTTTTGTAAAAAGATAGTCCCCTATTGCAGGACAGTTTGCTTATTTTCAAGCTTTTGCTTCTACAAACAGAGCTGCCATGAATGACCTTGAACATGTTGCGCAAGGACAAGTGTCTCCACAGGATACATTCCTGGGTGTGGAGGTGCAGAGTATTTTTACCATCGGCAATTTTTTTTTAAATTGATTTCAGAGAGAGGAAAGGAGAGGGAGAGAGGGATAGAAACATCAATGATGAGAGAGAATCACTGACCGGCTGCCTCCTGCACACCACCCACCAAGGATCGAGCCTACAACCCAGGCATGTGCCCTGGCTGGGAATCGAACCTTAACCTTCCTGGTTCATGACTTGACGCTCAACCACTGAGCCATGCCGGCCGGGCAGCATTTGCAATTTTGACAGATATTTCCAAATTGCCCTCCACAGGGTGACACCAACGGACCTTTCTGGTGATGTCTGAGTGAGGGGGAAGCTCTGAGAAACACCACAAGCTGGTGAGAGCAGGGTCTGCTCTGGCTCTCACTGACCCCAGCAGGCAGGGAGCAGCCGGTCTCTGTGGTTGCAGCCATGAACAGGAAAGCACAGTCGTGCAGCCCAGGGTCACGGAACGACAACATTCAAGTATTCACTCCCTCCTCAGTCAAGAAGTAACAGGCAGTAAGGCCCACTGTGCGACAGGTGCTGGCTAGATACCGCGGATGCCAGTGTGCTTCCGGGAGCCTGCAGGGGAGCCGGAACCACAGGGTCCCGGTGCTGGCCTGGACTTCACAGGACAAAGGAAATACAGCCCCTCCCCATCCACACCCCCCGGTGAGAAAAGAAAAGAAAAGGTGTCTAGATGGATAGATCCTAAAATGTAAAGACAGTGCCTATCTCTGTGAATGAAATACTCCAGTGTATAAAAAAGTATTTTTCTATGTTTTCGTAGTTTCACTGAAATTTCAGATGTATTATCTCTATAATCAGTTATAAAAAACTCAATTTCCGTTTTGAGGGGGGCAGGGCTGTGAGTGGGAACTCATGTCCACAGTGTAGGTGTCCACCACCATCCACGTAAGCAAATGACCACGGAAAGGGTTCACGCTCTGGATGGGCCTAGAAACACCCGACATGAGACAGTCTCCTGACTTACTTGTGTCTCGGTAACGCTGAACTCAAGGAAAAGCCTACGAAAACTCCACATTACAGAGTGAGAGTTACCGAAGCCACTGCCAACGTTATGGGCCAATGTGAGTAGGCACTTCTCTTCCTCTGAAGGCACCCCCAACCTCGAGAAGGCAGCTTCTCACCTTTTGTACTTTTCAAGAAGATTCTTGGCTTGTTCTTCAGCAAAGAGAATCCCAGCAGAGCAGTCTGGGAAATCCCCCGGGATGGAAGGCGACCTTTTATACTGGGAATGCACCACCGTCTCTTTTAATCCTCCCACCCGTGCACCTCGATAGATCTGAAAGAAACGTCAAACACACCCTGTCAGCGTCCAACTCAAAGTGAAACTGCTTATCTGTTTGTGTGGCGTGAATGGGAGACAACCTAAATGACCATCAAAAAAGAAGGGATCAGTAAACTGGGGGAAAATCCTAGAGTGAGCTACCACACACTAGTAAAAATAAATGAAACAGAGCTTCACCAATCAATGTAGAAAAACCTCAAGGCTGAGTAAGTATAGCAGGTTGCAAAAGCGTTATGTACAGTGAGGTATGGAAAGTTTAAAACCACGCTGAATACAGTTATTGGGGGGGGATACAAGCATGCTGTAAGGAGCTATAAAACCATGCATGGTAGTGACAAGCACCAAAACCAGGGCAGCGATTCGTTGAGGAGGGAGGGCAGCGGAGTTGGAGAGGGACACAGGGTGGTTCCGAGGAAGCTGTGATGTTTTCTTTCTTAAGCTGGAAGGCAGGTGCAGGGAACACAGGGCTCATTATATCAGCATTTGTACTTTTTTTGGATGCTTGAAATATTTCATAATTTAAAAATTAGAATTGTGCCCTAACCAGTTTGGCTCAGTGGATAGAGCGTCGGCCTGCGGACTGAAGGGTCCCAGGTTCGATTCTGGCCAAGGGCATGTACCTTGGAACGCAAGAAAAAAACATACATGTGAGCTATTTTAAGCACAAAGTAGTCCCTCCTACGACGATTTTCCTTTATATAAGTGTTTCGGTAGAAATGGCAAATTACCTTAAATATGGGCAAGAATATACTAGAGGATTCGAAGTTATAAAATACACATGCATTCCACTAATTTCTTATCTCAGGGTTAATCTTATATTTTGATACTCCGTCCCTACATTTACTTTGGTTAAGATTTGTCATGAAGTAAAAAAAAAAAAAAGGCACAATTAACAACTTCTCCCTTGAGAAAATTTCTCACCCAGTCTTAAGGATTCAAACTAGAAGGTGCCCCCCCACAAAAAAATGTGAAATAGAAGGTGCTGTAAATTATTTGTCAAGTAGACTGCAGGGAGTAGCTAACATTCTTCCAGACTTTTCTTGCCAGCTGTTCAAAGAGATGAACGGGCAGGGAGAGGCCTCCCACTCACTCAACTGAGAAACTATCCGAGGGCGGCCTCCACGCTACATCTAACCTCCGCCCCAGGATGCCTTCACACCAGGACCAGATCCTGAGCGAGTCTCCTTCTTCACTTTTCTCTCTCTCCTTCCTGAGTTTCCTCTACCATCTACCTGTTGGTAATTCCAAAAATCTCTCTTTCACCCCAACTTTGGCTCCTGGGATCGAAACCTCTGTCCTGAAAGTCCCGAGGCCCCTCCAACTCCATTATCCAAGATGACACTCGTCCTTCCCACTGCATTCGCTCCCGCCATCTGATGCCACGATGCTCACAGTTCGTTCCCTCACTCATTCACCCGTGCAAACATTTACTGGTCATTCATTTACTCTTTCATTCGAATATGCCCTGAGCACCTGCCATGTGCCGAACGCTTTCCCAGGACAAGACAAACAACCCTACTCTTCTGGGAGATGCTACCGGGTCTCCCTACAAGTAGCTTTAGGAAGTTACCTGCCCTTTTAAAACGCAAGAAAAAAACATACATGTGAGCTATTTTAAGCACAAAGTAGTCCCTCCTACGACGATTTTCCTTTATATAAGTGTTTCGGTAGAAATGGCAAATTACCTTAAATATGGGCAAGAATATACTAGAGGATTCGAAGTTATAAAATACACATGCATTCCACTAATTTCTTATCTCAGGGTTAATCTTATATTTTGATACTCCGTCCCTACATTTACTTTGGTTAAGATTTGTCATGAAGTAAAAAAAAAAAAAAGGCACAATTAACAACTTCTCCCTTGAGAAAATTTCTCACCCAGTCTTAAGGATTCAAACTAGAAGGTGCCCCCCCACAAAAAAATGTGAAATAGAAGGTGCTGTAAATTATTTGTCAAGTAGACTGCAGGGAGTAGCTAACATTCTTCCAGACTTTTCTTGCCAGCTGTTCAAAGAGATGAACGGGCAGGGAGAGGCCTCCCACTCACTCAACTGAGAAACTATCCGAGGGCGGCCTCCACGCTACATCTAACCTCCGCCCCAGGATGCCTTCACACCAGGACCAGATCCTGAGCGAGTCTCCTTCTTCACTTTTCTCTCTCTCCTTCCTGAGTTTCCTCTACCATCTACCTGTTGGTAATTCCAAAAATCTCTCTTTCACCCCGACTTTGGCTCCTGGGATCGAAACCTCTCTCCTGAAAGTCCCGAGGCCCCTCAAACTCCATTATCCAAGATTACGCTCGTCCTTCCCACTGCATTCGCTCCCCGCCACCTGATGCCACGATGCTCACAGTTCGTTCCCTCATTCATTCACCCGTGCAAACATTTACTGGTCATTCATTTACTCTTTCATTCGAATATGCCCTGAGCACCTGCCATGTGCCAAACGCTTTCCCAGGACTCGGGATACAGCTGGGACGGGTCAGGCCTGGCTCTGGCTCTTAGCTGAGCTCCCAAACCCAAACCAGACCGTCTCCTCCTTTCTCACCACCCACCTTCCAATGAACCACTGAGTCTTGCCAATTTTACCCTCCAGATAAATACACATTTGTGGCCCTGCACTCCAGGGCACGGCCACAAACCAGGCCCCCATTGTGCCCTTCGTTATGGGCTATTTCCAGGGTCTCTTTTAAGGCCATCCGATCACAAGCCCTCTCTCCGGCTCCTCCACCCAAATCCCCATCCCTAGTCTCCTCCACCCTCCCCTGTGCTGCTGGAGAGAAATGTCATCATGTCACGGCCCAGCTTAAAACTTCCCATGGTGCCCTCTGTCTTCAGTCCAGATCCCTGAAGTGCCCCCAGGTCTTCTATGCTCTGGTCCTTATTCCCTCTTCAGTTTCATCTCTGAGTCCAAGCTACTGATCTATTTGAAGATTCCTGAACACACGGTCCTGAACCTGGCCTGGGCCCCTGCTCATTCTCACTTCCAGCCATCCTTTCTCTACTGCAGCCTCGGCCCCCGGCCCCAAAAGGTCTGGTTGACTCTAACAGCCCACCCGAGGGTCAGCGCAAACACCAGCCCCTCCATCCAGGACGCTTCCCCTGATTTCTATCGTCTGGGCTTAGTCTCCCTTCTTTGGGCTTCCTTTGTGGCCTGTACTTCTTTGAGTGTATCTAACAGTCATCTCCCCCATCACCTGATACAATACCTGTAGGAGCACAGTCACTGGGTAATTAAAGACCGGAGAACAAATAAAGCAACAAAGACAGAGAACACTTAATGGGGGAGGGAAAAAAAAACACAATAAAAGAAAGACATGTATTTAAATCCTAAGATTATCATTTCAAGAAAAAGTCTTCGTGTTAACTTTTTCTAGGGATTCTTCTTCTTTAAGAACAGAAAACAAACAAACAAAAAAACAACCAAAGTATTTATCATAAGTAAGGGACCAGTAAATTGTCTGAAAATAAAAGGAAGTCTATGGGACCCTACAGAGTACAAAGCAACCTTTACGTTCTCTCGAGTGACGAACTTCAACCTGTCTTCATGACTTTACCAACAACCCTTACACCATTAGTTACCTGATCCGACATTTTATTCTCTGTGACACTCTTACAGATAGCTTGGCTCCAAATAAAGCTATGCGCACACTCCACGGGCACACCCTCCAGACGCAGCTGTCTAACTTCCTCATTATCTGAGAGGGAAAAGAAAGAGCCTTCAAACCACATCCTCGAGGTCAGTGAAGTCAAAGTCTAAACGTGGCCCATTGTTACAAGAAAATATTTGACAGGCACTTACTTCTCTAGAAGAATACACTTGACTAGAAATTATTCTTACAGTTGGTTTCATAATCTGTGAAGTAGCAAAGGCTCCTACACTTATTTTTTGAACATTTATGTTTAGTGGAGAAGATAGAAATATCACATACAACTGCCTTTAAATACCCGCCTAATTCCACAGTTAGGATGATCGAAGCATATGAACCACTGCAGAGGCAAACGATAATACGCAATGACAGCACAAGCCATGTTCTTTTTTTTTTTTAATACATTTTTATTGCTTTCAGAGAGGAAGGGAGAGGGAGAGATAGAAACATCAATGAGAGAATCATTGATCAGCTGCCTCCTGCATGCCCCCCACTGGGGATCGAGCCCGCAACCCAGGCATGTGCCCTGACCAGGAATGGAACCGTGACCTCCTGGTTCATAGGTCGATGCTCAACCTCTGAGCCACGCCGGCTGGGCCACAAGCCATGTTCCGACTGCTGTCTTCCGGGCTCTTTATGTTACTCCTGGCCCAATGGTGCCGAGACAACAGGTACGATTTCTTCGGCCCTATTATTTCAAGTCTCTGATAGCCCCTTCCTATTGAACATATTGTTTCCTTCCTTTAAAAGGAGCATATTTTCTGTGAAACATTATCATTTCATTCCTTTAAAGAAGCCACTCCATGCCAACCATGATGAACCCTCGGGGGGAAAGAGGAGGAACTTTTCCAGTGAGGAACATACACATGGATAGTAGAGACTTCCTACACAGTCATGTAATCACTCGGGGGCTGAAAAATCTTCCAAAATCTATTTTTGTTGGACTGAAATATTAAAAGAAAAAGTCAGACAATCCATGAGTTTCAACTACGGTCCTCAAATGCCGCACAGAAAGGCCACTCCAAGGCACATACCTGTGTGGGTCTGACGGCTGGAAAAAACATAAGTTGGAAGTGACTGGGCCATAATGTGAGAGATTTCAGGGGAGAATAAAGTATATTTCTAACTTTAGTTTTTTGTTTGTTTTTAAATCCTCACCCGAGGATATTTTTTCCATTGCTTTTTTTTTAATTGATTGCAGAGAGGAAGGGAGAGGGAGAGATGAGAGAGCATCACTGACAGGCTGCGTCCTACACATACCCCACTGGGGATGGAGCCTGCAACCCAGGCATGACCAGAATCAAACCTGGGACCCTTCAGTCCGCAGGCTGATGCTCTATCCACTGAGCCAAATCAGCTAGGGCTCCATTGCTTTGGGGGGGGTAGGGGAGGGAGAGAGAGAGAGAAAGAGAGAGAGAGATGTGGGAGAGACCCATCAACTGACTACCTCCCCCACAAGCCCTGACTGGGACTGGGGATCGAACCTACAACCCAGGTACATACCCTTGAAAGGAAATCGAACTGTTGAGCCACACTGGCCAGGGCTAACTTCAGTTCTGAATTGTCTGTCTAAATGATACATTACATGTGTTAATAACATCAGTATAATGCAACCTCTTTAAAAAGCTGACTTCTTGCCCTGGCCGGTTGTTCAGTGGTTAGAGCGCTGGTCCACATAACAAAGGGTCCAGGGTTCTATTCCCGGTCAAGGGCACGTACTTGGGTTGCAATTTCAATCCCCTACCCCTGTGGGTGCTCACACAGGAGGCTACCAATTGATGTGTCTCTCTCACAGCAACGCTTCTCTCTCTGTCTCTATCCCCCTCCACTCTTTTCCCCTTCCACTCTCTCTAGAAATCAATGGGAAAAATATCCTTAGGTGAGGATTAACAAAAAAAAATGTTTACTTCTCTTTTTTTCTTTTTTATTAAATTTATCGGGATGACACTGGTTAACAAAATTATGCAGGTTTCAGGGGCACAATTATACACCTCCTCTGTACACTGTACTGTGTGTTCACTACCTCAATTCCAGTCTCCATTCATCACCATTTTACCCCTGTACCCTGCTCCGCCTCCTCCTACCCCTCTCCCCGCCCTGGCAATCACCACACTGTTGTCCATGTTCCTGAGGTTTTTTTTCTCTTTTTCTTTCTTTTATGCTCAATCCCTCCAATACCGCCCCTGCCCCCATTCTAAAAACTGTCAGCCTGTTTCTCTATGACTGTCTCCATTTTGCTCGTTAGTTCATTTTGTTCATTAAATTCCACATCTGAGTGAAATCATATGGTACTTGTCTTTTTCTGACTGGCTTACTTCACTTAGCATAATAATCTCCAGGTCCATCCATGCTGTCACGAAGGGTAAGATTTCTTACAAAGGGTAAGATTTCTTTCCCTTTTTTATAGCTGAGGAGTATTCTGTCGTGTAAATGTAACACAGCTTTCTTATCCACTCAGCTACTGGACACCCGGGCTGCTTCCAGATCTTGGCTCCTGTAAATAACGCTGCAATGCACATAGGGGTGCATATATTCTTTCAAATTCGTGTTTCAGGTTTCTTCAGATACTTTCCCAGAAGTGGTTCGCTGGGTCGTGAGGCAGTTCCATTTGGTATTTTTTGCGGTAACTCCACACTGCTTTCCCCATTGGCTGCACCAATCTGCAGTCCCACCAATAGTGCACGAAGGCTTCCTTTTCTCCACATCCTCGCCAACTCTTGTTTGTTGATTTATTGATGAGAGCCATTCTGATAGGGGTGAGGTGAGGTTTCCCCGTTTTGTCTGCCTCATTGTGTTTGTATCAGATAGATCTACTGTGACTCCCAGTCTTCGGGGGGAGTCCTGATGTAGTAGGTGTCCTGTGGGACCCAGTGGTGCAGCCTCCTTGATCACCTGAGCTGGGTGCTCCAGGAATGTCCCTTGAGTGGGTTATGTGGGCCCTCCTGTTGTAATTGAGTCTTGACTGCTACTGGCCCGTTCGTGCACAGGATCGACCCGCAGGCTGCCCGACTGTGAGTCTCAACCCCGACCATGGCCTGCAAGCTGCTGTGCATGGGCTGACCACACGAAGCGAATTTGCCACAGCAGGGCTTAGTGCCTGCGATAGCTCCCTTTAGGTGTGCTGCTTGTAACCCTGCTCTCATGTTGTCTGAAGCTGGTCACTGGGTGCATTGGTTCTGGGCTTCCTGGGAGGGACTCTCTGCTGCAGGCCAAAATCGGACGCTCCCTGTGACTTACCCTGAGCGACCTGTTTGGAGCTATAAGTGATCCACAACGTGTGGCTGCCAGTGTTGGGCCTGGGTGTGCGGGGGAAGGACCAAGCTGTGCACCCAGGCAGGCTTTTACCATCATCGGGTCCGGGTCAGGTGAGCAGAAGTCCCAAGACACCCCAAGACCCTCCTCTACCCGCTGGCTGCCTGTGAGACTCAGGCACTGAAAGGGCCTCGGGCTATACTCCTCAGCAGGGCATAAGCTCCACAGAGTGGGGCGGGAGGGAGCCCAGAGGGGGTGGCTGTTGCTTTCCCCAGGCTGATTCCACAAGGTGGGGAGCACTCCACAGAAGGAAGAAGGCATCTGCAGTGTGGGAGATGGACTCAGCATAGGGACCTGGCGGCTCTCCCTTCAGCTCCCTCCCCAGAGCCACAAACTCCAGTCTTTCCTCATGCACCTCTAGTCCTCCACCCTCCCTCCCCTAGAGCACAGGGTGAGTGGCTACAAACAAAAGTCTGTGTGTTGGCCCTTTAAGAGGGTGCCTGTATCTCTAGAGGACTCCCATCTCTTTCTGGCGGACAATAACCCCGTTACTTTTCACAGGCAGATGTTATGTGGGCGCCTCTTCCGGGCCCTGTTGCTGTGGGCTGGGGAGCCCGGCAGGGGGTTTAGACCCCATGCTTCTCAGGGAGAACCCCCACAGCTGAGATATCCCTCTGGAACCTTTGCCGCTGCCCTGGGAGTGGGGTCGGCCCTTTCTGCTTCTCTGCCCTTCCTACCAGTCTCGATGTGGCTTCTTCTGTGAATAACTTGGTTATAAGACTTCTTTTCGGCTAGTCTTCAGCTGGTTATTCAGGATGATTCTTCTACATTTAGCTGTAATCCGTTTGGTCCTGGGAGGAGGTGAGTGTAGCTTCCACCTACTCTGCTGCCATCTTGGATCTCTCAAAAGTTTACTTCTTTATCTAGATCACATGCCAATCAATACTTCTTCAAAGAAATTACTTAAAATCGGTTTTAATGAAAGTCCACAATGACTAACAAAAGGATAAGCTTTAATAATAGAAATTAAATGTTTGAGAAACTTTCATTTTCTTTGAACTGATTCATCCTATATAATAATCCTATATAATAAAAGCCTAATATGCTAAGTGTCCGGTCAACCGGTCGACTGTTCAACCAATCAAAATATAATATGCTAATGAATGCTAAGGCTGCTCAACTGATCGCTATGTCGTGCACTGACCACCAGAGGGCAGTCGACCAGTTGACCAGTCACTATGACATGCACTGACCACCAGGGGGCAGACGCTCCAACTGGTAGGTTAGCTAGCTGCTGGGGTCCAGCTGATCAGGACTGAGGGAGATGGGCCAGACATGCCCTGGAGCCCTCCCGTCCCTCCCCACCAGCTGGCCAACCTCCTGCATCCCTCCCCGGCCCCAATCATACACCAGTGGGGTCCCTCAGCCTGGCCTGCTCCCTCTTGCAATCCAGGACCCCAGAGAGCTGGTTTCGGCCTGATCCCGCAGGCCAGGCCGAGGGACCCCACTGGTGGACAAATTTGTGCACCGGCCCCTAGTATTAATATAAAAGCCTTAGAAAGCATTTTAATATAAAACTGCCTTATTTTAAAAAAGAATTTGAGGAAGCAAGAGAAATTGAGTAGAATTAAATTACAGCTTTAAGGCTATTATGGGAGTCACCATTTAATGGTGTGGCTGACACTGCAGTTTTCATGGCTGCACCAGAGCATATTGCTACTGAAAAAGAAAAGAAAGAAGCAACACCTCATTGATTAAAGTCTGAGACTCCATAATTAACTAACTTACCGATATATCTTCAAACTCCTCTCATTCAATCCACCTTTCATGTGACCTTCTGATAGAATCATTTACTAAGCCCTTAATAAGCTAGCTAACTATGCATGGAGGTTAAAAAAAAAATTATAGTCGTTATAACACACATCTATATTTTTCTCCAAAAATTCACAAGGTAATTTTAATGATTCTTCCAAAAACACCATACTTAAATGACAGCAAATACAATAAGACATTATCACAACCACTGCATGTCCCAGATCAGACTAAAATTTTAGCCAGTCCTACACACCCTCCTATGCCACTCCAGCCAAACAACTCCCTCGGGCCACTCTACTGAGTCTAAACCAAGACATCTTACCTTCAGCACCTGGGATGGCCTTGCCAGGATTCGAACCTGGATCATCTGTTTGGTCAGACAGAGGCTTCCAATGAGCACAAGACCAGCTGCAGGTGCACATCCCTTCCTCATATGAAAATTCTGAAATGCCAGGCATTTTCAGAGAACCCATTTGACAGAAAGACAGGTTTTACTAGATACTAGCAATGAAATGAACGTAAGGATCAGGCTGTGTTACACAGCTAAAAGATACTCCCACACACACCTCCTGTGATCATAACCACCTTGAAAGTAGCCAGGTAAAGATCACCCTAATTTCCTAGAGGTGAAGTTACTGCACAGGTGTCACTAACAGAACTGGGACTAGACTGCTCAAAATAGTAAGAAAACCAGGAATGTTTCAAGAACTTTACCTTGGCATTTTTCTGGATTGGGCAAAACTTTGGACCTCTTTTGAGGCAAATTTATTCGAGGATCCCCAACTGTCAGTCCCAGAATAGTACCTGCTGGAATTTCTGCTGGTGATGTTATTCCTTTAGCAATAAACAAACAATAAAATGCAAGTTTAAGAAGAGGCATTCACAGTGTATACATATTTGCTTGTATTTTTCAAATTTTTCTAATAAAACTTTCATCTTGGGCTATTTTATTTGAAAACATGTATTCCCATGCTGGCCGGTAAAGCTAAATGGTTGGAGCTTCAGCCCTCCCACCGAAGGGTCCCCGGTTTGATTTCGGGTCAAGAGCACGTACCTGGGTTGCAGGTGTGATCACTAGCCCTTTTTGTGCACTTGCAGGAGGCAACCAGTCCATGTGTCTCTCTCACATCGATGTTTCTCTCTCTCTCTCTCTCTCTCCCTCCCTCCCTCCCTTCTACTCTCTCTCTCTAAAAATCAATGGAAAAAAATATCTTCAAGTGAGGATGAACAACAACAAAAAACATGTTTTTCCTTTTTTTCCCATTGATACTTTTAGACAATAAATTAACATTCATAAAGAGAAACTTTCTCTTTATGAAAAACATTCATTTAACATTATAGATATTTTACAAACGTAAACATTGTTTCTTTCATTGATGACTATAGTAGCTTCACACACAAAAGCACTCATGTCCACTTAAGAATCAATTTCAGTTTAGTGCCTGGTATATGCACTGACTGTAATATCAGAATGCCAGCTATTTAGAATACTAACATCTCATTTGTTTGTTGTTTCATAAGCAAACTCAAATAGTGTTTTCCCTATTCACTCTCTGACTTGCTTTCTCGCTATATTACAACAAAGAGTTAAAGTTAAAAAGCACCACCACGCGTAGGCAGCCTTCCCACCCACGTCCCACAGCCCCCTCCGTTCCCAGCACAGCCCAGCATCCCCTGCGCATACCTCCCAACAAGTCAAACACGGCCTCTTGTCTGTGGTGGAGGGAAACCGAGTCAGGATTCTTACAGGTTTCAGTCCACCAACGGTGCGGAGTGTTCTCCGTGTCCTCTCCCTCCTGAAAAACAGCAACTCCTGGTTACCAGACAAATAATGAACCAGACATTATAATCGTGTTAGGGTTGGGCTATTGACTCCCTCCACTTTTTTCCGCATGTGGGAATGAACATTTTAAGGGAAGAACCAGCGGAACTGTCACTATTTTTCACACAGTAATTAGCACCAGGCTAACTATCCTCCTAATTAGAGGCAAGAATAGAGTATACACTTCTGTCAAGATTTCACATAATGCTCGGCCAGTGTGGCTCAGTGGTTGAGTGTCGACCTAGGAGCCAGGAGGTCACTGTTCGATTCCTGGTCAAGGCACACGCCCGGGTTACAGGCTCAATCCTCAGTGGGGGACGTGCAGGAGGCAGCCGATCAATGATTCTCTCTCATCGCTGATGTTTCTCTCTCTCTCCTTCTCCCTTCCTCTCTGAAATCAATAAAAATATTTTTTTTAAAAAGGATTTCAGTTCCTTCTCTCTCTTTCTCCGCCATTGAGGTGCGTTCGCTTCTCCTTCACCATGTCTTCCCACAGACTTTCAGGGCCAAGAGGTTCCTGGCCAAGAAACAAAAACAGACTCGGCCCATCCCCAATGGATTCGGATGAAAACCGGAAATACAATCAGGTACAACGGGAAGAGGAGACATTGGAGAAGAACCAAACCAGGCCTATGAGGAATCACACATGAGAGATGACTCACATATTTCTGCTGTATCCAGGTTGCCTACACCTTTACATGACTGAGTTGCCTATACCTTTAAATGATTGAAAAGACCGCTACTGTCTGGACAGTTGGGACATTTTAATTGGGAAATTAATGGACTCATGATTTTGCTCTGTTGATTTTTTTTTTCCTGCAATAGTAGGTTGGTTCAGTAATAAATGTGTGAGACCTTTTAAAAAAAAAAAGGATTTCACATACTAAGAAAAACACCCATGGCTTTCAGAGAGATTGAGCCACTTCACACTGAGGCCTCTGTGCACAGTGCCTGCAAGAGCGCCTTGCTCCTCTCCCTCTATTGCCAACTTCATCACCAGCAATTTAGGCAATAAAACCTTCCTCCCCAAGGAAAAACCAAACCTATACCTTTTGAAGGAATCTTTAGCCAAAGGCTACATGACGACTATCGTACGCCTAGAGATTTCAAATAAGACACGCAAGTGTTTTACTTACATTTCTTCCTGACAGATCCAGGAATTTGAGCAAGATTTTAAAAAGCACTTCGAGTATCACGTGCATGCCAAGAAAGAATACCTATACTGAATAAAGTAGGATGTGCTCCTAGATTCAAAAGCACCTGTGACATGTGCCAGGTCTCTCACAAATACTCAGGCAGCGTCACTTAGTGGTTTCAAGTACAGGCCCAGGAAACAAACTTCTAGGTGCAAATCCTTGCTCTGCAACTCGTTTAGCTGGAGCAGAGCACCTGGTCCGTGCCAGGCACTGTGCTAAGCACTGGGGACAGAGCAAAGAACAGAATGACCCTGCCCTTGCCACCACGCTGTATAAATACACAAACAGAGGTCGCCATACAAATGGAGGAAATGTGCAAGATACAATATAATTCACAGGAGGGATATCATTTACCCTGCGGGATCGGGAGAGGATTCTGTAGGGAAATGAGACGGATGTTGAAACCTGAAGAATGAGGAAGTTTAGCCAAGCAGAGTGGTGGAGGTGGAATGTTCAAGCAAGTGGGAAAAAAAAAGCAGGTGCAAAGGCTCTCGGGGAGATGGAATCTCCAGGAGAAAGGAGGCCAGGTTGGCTGAGGTGCAGAGTTGAGAGACGAAGCAGAAAGGCACAGGTTACACAGTCACATTCCGGGCTTTGGATTTTATCGCAGACACAATTCAACAGACCAGGCAAGAATAGGAGTGGTTGAGGCTGGTGGGGAAGCAGTGGAGAGAGAGAGAGAAGTAGCCTTTCTCTTTTAAAGTATTTTTCTTCTAAAAGCCCAAACGCTGCTCGGATCTATCATCGTACCTGACCATGTCAAGTCTGTGAGAGGCACAGGGGCTGAAAGGCGCAGGGCACTGACACAGCAAGACAAACGTGAACCCGGAGTGTCTGACTGCTCATCTGGTCTCCTCTCTCTGGACCTGTGCGGTCCCCATGCCACAGAGTTACCGGAATGTAATTTCTAGTTCATTAAAATTCAATAAAGGTGGAAATGCAGCTCCTTAGTCCCACTGGCCACGTTTCAAGAGCTCAATACAACACGTGGCCAGTGCTACCACCCTGGACAGCACAGAGGCACGGCGCCCTCACAGGAAGGCCTATTAGACAGCGCTGCACGGGACACACGGCTCCTTGCCTCTCAGCGGCCAAAGAACCCAAAACTCACCCCAGAAAATACGCGTCACACAAATACAAACAAAAAAATGGCCGTACACTCGGGGATTTTAAGGGCTCTGTTGCCTGTTTATGGAGCAGAAGGTAAGGCCCTTCTGCAAACTCACAAGCTGCAAGAATAACTCGTCCTTAAATCAGAACAAGTCGGTTCACTTATCACACTCACTTAGATTTGTTCATCCAGGAGAAGTAAGAGATGACAAAGTCCTTGATCATAAGCGTACGGAGAGAAATAAACACTTATAGGCCAGGGCCCAAAATGTTACCAAACTGTATGTGAAGTGTCACAGGTGTGCGAGGAAAGACATGACTGGAACGTATCATTACAGTCACGGTGAATCTTACGGTGTGGACAGCAGCAGCTTGCAGGGCCTCGGTGAGGATGGCGTGGGAGAGGGGACCGATCAGGCGGAACCTGTTGATCTCCATCGTCAAATCACTGAAAGAGAGAGAAAAAGTCTGACAAGGGAAACTTCCACGATATATACGACGGCTGTGGCCACAGGCAGAAACAGAGGAAGCCTTCAAAGCAAATGTTCTGAGCGAATGCCACCTGTACCTGATCACGATGCCTGTGGTGGAGGAGCTCCAAGAGCGCAGTTCATGTGCAGCTCTAGTTCCGTCCCCCATAAATTTTTTAACCGGTTTAGCGTTTTCTCCATCGTCCTTCCGTTTTCTTTTCTTGCCAATTTTCTCATCGGGCAGTTTCGCTTGGCTTTTTTCTTGGGCTGGTGCCAGAAGGGGGTCAGGGATGCAGGTGGTTGATTCGACCGGTTCTATACACTGGCACGCTGCTTTTATTTCCTCCAAAATATCCTAAGGATATACGTAAACATTTTACTTTTAAAGTTTAAAATGTAAATACATTACAAATGTAATGTGGTTTAGTTTATTTTTTTCCCCTCCCTTTAAAAATTTACATTTTTATTCCTTCGCAAATTAAACTAAATTCATCATTATCAAAATGGTGTTTGGGTTCTTCTGAGTAGTGCATGGCTCTTGGAACAACAACAACAACAAAAAAGGATTATGTCAAAGATTAATGAAAACAACACAACTGCTCTGACCAAATATTTTAAAATGAGTTTAAGCCCCAACTGATGTGGCTCAGTTGGTTGGAGCATCGTCCTGTACATCAAAAGGTAGCGGGTTTGATTCCTGGTCAGGGAACATGCCCTAGTTACAGGTTCGATCCTGGTCAGAGTGTGTGTAGGAGGCAACTGGTCAATGTTTCTCTCTCACATCAATGTTTCTCTCTCTCACACACACAAAAATCATTAAAAAAAAATGAGTTTAAGGAGAAAATTTACCATCTACCACATAAAAGCAGTGAGTATGCTAAAAAAGAGAAAGAGAGAGACTAACTAAGCTAAATGCAGTGTTAAAAATCTTCAGAATGAATCAAAACAACTTCTCATCAAATAGGCTCTACCAAGCACCTAGCCACCAGGGAACCAATTCAGGCATTGTGGAAAGCATTCATCCAAAGGCAACATTTCAAGCCATTTGCCTAATAAGGTTGGTTTTCATCTCTACTTATGGCTTACTAAAAAAGTGAGGGGTCAAGATTTGCTTCATGTAATATTCACGCAACTTTCTTCCCTACATTCAAATACCAAGCTACCAGCCGAACTTCTACGCCACTTAAATGTCTATGGTATTGATTTCCAACAGTCAAGAATGCAGGGACGAGTGATGGGGAGACAAACTCAGGGACAGTACCTGTTTAAGCGTTGGGTGAAGCCAGATCCACAACTGCCTGCTCTCAGAGGTGTCCCCAGGGGTCCTCTCCGGCTTCCAAATGAATGAAACAGGCCCCAGCATGCCTCGGGGGTACTGATGTGCCCGGTAAAGCAGGAGACTTCCCTGGCGCTTTCCAGACAAGCAGTGAACTGCTGCAAAAGTCAACCCTGACAGAAACGAAGACAAAATCCCATTGTTTCACGTGTTGAGACTGCAGCAGTATTTCCCGACAGCTAGACTATTATTGATTGTCTCTCTCCGGGTCGGGGTGCAAAGTCTAGGTTCTGATCACTGCTTGGATCAAAGTGGCACACAGCGAGTTCTCCATAAATATTGTATGGAATGAGTGGTTTAATGAGTTTTCCGTTTCTGCCTACCTAAACTCACTCCATCGGCATGATGACCTTCTCACTTTACACTTGACAAGGTTAGAACTGATTTAAAAGCCACCCTAAGCTTTCCTTTAATTAACATACTCAATGGAGAACAAAAACTCTCTCATGCATTTTTATATATGTTTAAATTACCAAACACTTACAGCGCTGACACTTCTGCATGAAATAAATAATCAGACCAATATAGGACTCAGATTTGAAACAAGTTTACCTGTGTCTATGCTACACATTGGAGAAAGTGCCTTTAGTATTTCTTCCTCTTTGCCCTTCAACTCCAAACAACAGTAGTAGGATAAATCCTGCACAGAGAAAGAGAGATCATTAAAAACGTAGCCATTTACACGGGGGAACTGCAAGAAGCCAAAAGTCACATGAGAAAAACCTCCCAGAGTCCAAGACACAGAACAGATTGCTATGTAAAGCTATCATTTCACAAGTCAAAATCTGAAACCTGTCTGTTCCTGTTACATCAGCAAATATTCTTAAACCAATTTGAATCAAAATAAAAATGAATTTCCATTTAAATATGTTATAGTTTCCTATTTTTTATACAAAAAAAATCTGCGTTATATCCCACATTCAAAGACAAGGTCTAAGCAGAATGTAAAAACTGCTGCCTCTAAGTAAAGACTTATTCTTCCCTGAAATCTACCTAAGAAACGAGAGTCATAACGCTCCAAATAATTTATACCATATTTCTCCCATGCTCATTCTTGACTATAATATAGATTCAAATTGATACCAGGTACAAGGGAAAATGAGAGTAATGAGAGTAAGACCTTACCAATTAAATAAGATAAAGACAGATCAAACTGAGCTAGTAAAATCAATATGTTAAAGAACTATAACAACAGTGTATAGTCAATAAAGCATTACCAAGCGCCAGGGGCTGGGCTAACTCCTTACACGGACTGTCATTTAATCTTCCCGACACCTGATGACCCAGGTGCTATTTGTTATCTGATTTCACAGATGAGGGCACTGGGACAGAGACTGTTACTGAACAAAGCCACATAACCAGAAAGTGGAGAAGCCAGCGTCCACGACAGGCTCCCACTGAATCCTAAACATCTGGAACAGCGTTCGAACACTGCTCAGGGTCCATCGATGGTTCTCAGATACCTGTTACTGATCAATGACTACTTACTGAACCAAGGCTGAATACATCTCGAGCACGACCAACAAAACCCGGCATGATCGCTAGAACTAACCTCACCCTCATGTTAGCCTTGCTCTGACTCTCTTCATTCTTGTCGGGTGGAATTTAGTTCAATTCTTCCCTGCTACCTGGCTTCCTTCTGCCTCTCCCACTCTCCCACTTTCTCATTCCTTAGAACTCTGCTCAAACAACACTTCCATGGGGAAGCTTTCTTGGTCCCCTGTTAAGCATGCTCATGGTATTCTATGTATCCCTTACAACTGCATATTTGGCTAATTGTTTGATTAATGTCAGTCTCCCCTAATACCTTTACATTTCGTCTCCAGCATCTAGCAAAGTGCCTGGTGCTCAGTAATTATTTTTAAAATAAATAATCTCAGAGATAGGGCTTTGGCATTACCACGAACTGTTCTAAATGTCTCTATCAGAAACGGTCTAAACAAATATAAAAGAAAACCAACTGGAAAGCAGACCTGAAGGAGGCAACGGTGTGTCATGGCTCGATAGCAGGCGCGGTGGCTCTTGACTGTCGGCCTCTCCCCGAGGCAGTAACCCCACTGCTTGACCATGTGAAACCGTTTGGCGTGCCAGATGTGCGTTTCTAACCATCTGTTCTTCTTCTGCCTACGGTTAAATTCCAGCATCCGGTTGATGTGACATCTTCGAGCTTTATGGCACTTATTTTTTGAATGTTCTTTCTTCTGATGCACTACTTTCTCTGCCTGTAGTTTCAAGAAGAGAAGCAGAACCAGTGTGCGACCATTTCAAAACAAAGTTAAGTGTTAGGAACTCAAAGTTAAACTACCTTTAGATTAAGTGGAGCACATTAGTTTGCTTAAATGTTTAACTCGATGACTTCCCCAATGGAAGCTGAGATAGGGGCAATAGAAGGAGTGCAGATTTTAGAGGTGGTCAAACCTAAGGAAGCACATCCTGTCACTTACTAATTGGGCAAGCTTCATGGAGTATGAAGATTAAACTAGTTATAACATGTTCAACACAGTAACTCAAGTTTTCTGTGGCTGTTAAGAGCGTATTAGAGAGCAACAGGGAATACACCCTATGCTAGCTTTTTTTTGTTATTTTTTTATTGTTTTTTAACCTCTAAGATTATAGCTAAATCTAAAATTTAGAACCAAAAATATAGAAGTGAGGAAAACTACACATTTCATGTCAGTTAGGTACTAAGAGGTAAATGATAAATGTTAGCATTAGGAAACAGACTTCACATTAAGTCTAGAAACTACGAAATTCCTGTGTAGTTTTTACTATTCATCTCTTCCATAGCCAAGCTAAACTTTTGTGGAAAAAACTCTTCATTAGTTTGTGGGGCCCTTACAAATAAGGACTTGACCTTGATGAACTCTAACCCTACAACCAACATGGTACTGGTACATAGAAGGTACATTACAAAGAAATTCTGAATCAACTAATAAAAAGATGGGTAGCTTAGACAATCTCAGAAAGTCCAAGCCAAAAACAATTAGACTTGAAAAAAATGTAAATTCAAGCTCAATTTTTCAACATTGAAAAAGTCAAAAGGCAAGTGCTACGCAATGATGCTACCTTTTTTTTTTTTTTAACCTTCCAACTCTAAGCCCAAAATGCAGAGCTAAAATTGCTTATCTGGTAAGAAGGTCAGTATTATATTTTAAATATGACAGGGAAATGTCAACTTTTTAACACCATTAAAAGAAAGGGGTTCCATGCCCAGCTGGGAGGGCTCAGTGGTTGAGCATCGACCTATAAACCAGGAGGTCATGGGTTCAATTCCCGGGTGGCAGGCTCAACCCCCAGTACGGGGCGTGCAGGAGGCAGCCGATCAATGATTCTCAACATTGATGTCTCTCTCTCTCTCTCTCTGAAAAATCAATAAAAATATTTTTTAAAAGGGGGGGTTCCAACTGTTATATTTAAAAGCAGCTGTAATATACAGCTATTTGGTAGATGATAAGGAGGTGGGAGGGGGGGTAAATCATGAAAACAAAATATGCAAAGTCAGCCTGTTGTTTTTGGTTTTCATTTTAACAAATTCTATTAGGTTAACACTTCCCATTTTCTCTTAGGAACTACTAACCTAAACATTACACCAAGTAAACCGTATACCTCTTTCTGAGCAATCTCCTGCAGCCGTCTCGGAAGGCGTTTGACGTTGTGGCTCATGGCTCTTCGCCTCATGTGCCGTGGCAGAGTCTGGAAAACCAGTGAATTTGAAGACTTCTGAGTCACTGCTTTCAACATAGCGCTGATTTCAGCAGCTCGGGCCTGAGCAAAAGTAGACGCTGTCGAAGGAAAGAGGACTGTCATTAAAAACTAGTCTTGAATCAACACTGTCCTGCTGCATTTCAGAAGAAAAAAAGATTTGAAGTACGTGAGTTTATGATTCACCCACCACCCCCACCCCTGATTAGTGGTTATTTCTGTATTATAAGATTGTAAAACTATTCTTCAACTTTTATTTTTTCAAGTTTTCTACAAGAATTCGGTGCCACTTTCTCATTAAAAAAAAGTTTAAAGACAAGATTACAAAAAAAGCTTTTTAAGACAGAGAACCACATGCAATACAATAACAACCATTTTTAAGTATAATAATCACACAAGAAAACAAAAAAATGTTCACTCCCAGCTTTTGGTACCAAAAACAAACGAACAAAACAAAACAAAAAAATCAAAGAGAAGACAAAATTTTAACAATGGTTTTGACTCCAAGGATTTTTTCCTTAACATTTCTTCTTTTTTCAAATATGTGACCATACTATTATTAGTTTCCTTTATTGAAAAATACTTTTTTTTTTTTTGAAGAGTAAATAGAGTGCTGGGGAAAGTTAAGTGAATTCCTCCAAGAAGGTATACAGAGAAACCAGAAGCACCAGTAAGGTACGTACAAGAAGTATGGGCCATGTGGTAGGGGTAAGAGTGGTGGGGCGACGGGGGGTGAGCTAGCAAGGACCTGGAGAAGGGGATTTAAAGATCTGGGTTGCCTTGAAAGTGCATTAAATTTGGTTTCATCTTTGGAGAATGCCATGCCGAGGAGTGTAAATAGCATTTCCTATTTTAAGAGAGAGTGGGGAAAAGATTTTAAGACAAAGTGGAACAGTGCACAAATAAAGGCTTTTAAGAAGAGAGGTAAGGAAAAGGAGAGGAATTGAAGAAGGGAGAGCAATCAGACCCAAATCCAAAGGGAGGGGAGAAAAGCTTAGAGCAGGAGGAGGAGAGAGAGGGGAGGCAGGGCCAAGACATAGCGAGGGTGTTCAAAATCTGGCTGCATTAGCAACGAAGAGCTCACAGTGCAACCAAACCTCACTTCTTTACAAATACCTACCTGTTATGTACTTTGGAATCTCCTGAGATGTGCCCTCGGGACCCGCTTTCCATCCTCCCTTCTTTCTAAACATTACTTTGGAGGAAGATTGCTCATTCACATCAGGCCTAGGTGGTGGATAGTGGGCCATTTTGGCTTGCTGCTGTCGTGAAGTTCCAGAAGAAGGATCTAATATATGGAAAAAAAAAAAAAAAGAAAGAAAGAAAGAAAGAAATATGTCACTCTTATCAGGAATAAGGATTACAGTGGAGAATATCTGTTGGGGTGAACTGAAATTTTCCCCCACTCTGCACATGCCCACGAATGACCCCCAAAATACCCAAAGCAATTTGCTCCAAATGGGAGTGGAGAGAGCACTGTGTGTACCTCACCTAGTTTTTGAGCTCGGAAAGGTTTCCCACCTCCATTAAGGTGCTTTTCACCTCTATCAGGCACAAAGCCAGAGGACAAAGTCACATTGGTGGGCTGGTTTCTCATCTTCTTAGCATGTTTTCTTTCTTTTGCATTAGACATTTCTGGAAATAAAGTAATAAATTAATACAGGGAAAGGGAACATCCATTCAAAAATAAATATAATAAATATTCATAACTCAATATACAACAAATCTTTCTTATAGGTGGATTGATATAAAAATGTCGTGATATTTATTTACTACAGAAATTCATAACCAGGACAATCTCTAGGGGAGCCATGAATGGTATTAACACCAAAAACCTGATCAATAGAAAAAAATGTTTTATTGTTGGAAGAGACTATATTAGTAGCAGAAATTCATAACCAGGACAATCTCTAGGGGAGCCATAAATGGTATTAACACCAAAAACCTGATTCAATAGAAAAAAAATTTTTTATTGTTGGAAGAGACTATATTAGTACATTCCAGTTTGCACTTTCAAATAATGAAATCATAAACCTATGCTGACACTGCAAAAAGTCTGTTGAAAGAATGAAAAATGAGGTAGGAGATAAGATCCCTATGCCATGATTAAATTAAATTAACTAAAACATGTAATGAAAATTCTGAGGTGGCCCTGGCCGGTGTGGTTCAGTTGGTTGGGCATCTTCCCTTGTACCCAAAGGTTGATGGTTCGATTTCCGGTCAGAGCACATGCCTGGGTTTCAGCTCGATCCCCAGTTGGGAATATGCAGGAGGCAGCTGATCGATTAGCTCACATCGATGCAGCTCTCTCTCCCTTACTCTCTCTCTAAAATCAATAAAAACATAAAAATAAGTAAATAAAATAAAATGTAAAAATCTTTTCAAGAAAATTCTTTCGTGAACATAAGCCACTTGAATCAATGAAATATAGAACACACTATTCTGATATAACCTCTACAAAAACTGAACATAAATTATTGATGTTTTCATTTCTACTACTGAGATGAGGCCAGCTGCACCTTTAATTTGTAACAGCTAAAAAATTTCAATTGGAGCCCTGACCGGTTTGGCTCAGTGGATAGAGCGTCAGCCTGCAGACTGAAGGGTCCCAGGTTCGATTCCGGTCAAGGGCATGTACCTTGGTTGCTGGCACATCCCCAGTGCGGGGTGTGCAGGAGGCAGCTGATCGATGTTTCTCTCTCATCGATGTTTCTAACTCTCTATCCCTCTCCCTTCTTCTCTGTAAAAAAATCAATAAAAATTTTTTTTAAAAAATTTCAATTTGAAGGGCAAAAAATAAAGGACAAAAACCTAGTGGAGCCTCAGTAATTCTCAAACTTGACATCCACCCTTTTTTTTTCCTCAATAGTTTCAAATACCTGTTTTCTATTTTGAAATGAAATTCACTCATAGCATAACCTACCAGTTATAACCTATAATTGTTGCCAACACATGCCCTACAACATGTGCTCTAACTGTAATGTAAAGAAAAATATTTTAATATGTATTTCAATATTTCACAACTGTACCAGATGACATTATGAAACAATGAAAAAGCTCTGAAAGTTCTTGAGCCAGAAGTAGAAAAGCCAAAACCTTAGCAGTACGTAGGACAAAATGAGGGTGAGTAAACAGGACTTTCTTATATCGCATTTTAGAAGCCGGACAGGACTGGGATCTTGCCTGTCCTTTTCACTACTGGACCTCCAGCACCTAGCAGGGTGCCTTGCACAAAGTAGGGGCTCAGTATCTATTTGTTGAATGCATCCGTGCACGCATACATGAAAGAGGGAAGCGTGCTACAATGCACTATAAACGGAATGAAAACATATTCAGCCAACTATCACCCCTTCTGACACCGCATGTCTGAGTACCTGCCAAGAAAACAGCCCTGGGGCCATTTGCTGGATCAAGATCACTATCTGCCTTTTTATTATTATTATTATTATTATTATTATTATTAAATATCTATCCACTGAGCCAAACCAGCTAGGGCACCATCTGCCTTTCTGAAACCAGATCTCTGGCCCTACAAGAGAAAGGAACATGGGAGGGGCTGGCAGGTCGAAAACGCCCAGCTCTCCGCGTCACCTGGGAGTGACCCATCTTGCTGCTTTAGGGCAGCGATTTTCCACCCGTGTGCCGCGAGGACTTCTAAAACATACAAAACTTGACTCCGCGGTCAGGGACACTGACCTCTTTTCCCTTAGGTTGTCAATAAAAAATGACAACTGCCAGCACAACAATAGCTGCCTGGTCTGAATGAATCAAAATTATACCTATTTTCGTCAGACCAGCAAAACCAAAAAATTATATGTGTGTGTGTGTGCGCGCGCGCTATGGAATTTTAGTAATTAGTTCGTGTGTGCCAGGAGATGAAAAAGGTTGAAAAGGGCTGCTTTAGGGTGTAAGGAGAGGGGGTACAAGCCCGTTCCCAGAAAGGGCTCCGCCTAGTGTGGCCCTGCAGCAAAATGACAGACTCAGGGAGCTCCGGGCAGGAGCAAAGGTGGTGTAGCCGGCAAGACAGGCCCGGAGCTGGCAGCAGGGGAAGAGGAGGAAAGGGGAGGTCGGCCGGGACTGGGGGTGGGGGGCGCAGTGCGCTGGTGCCAGGCGAGGGATCCCCCTCTTCCCCCCCCACCCCCACACACACGCTCCCCTAGAGAACACCAGCCCCTCACGACCCACCTGCCAGACGATCTGAGGCAGAAAACTAGGGCTTCCCAGGTCAGAACGACAAGGTTCTGCTGCGGTCCCCTCCGAAACTACGTGCGGGGCGAGCAAGCTGGAGGGCGCATGCGCCGTGCGGCGGCTGCCTCCACGTGGCCCGAGGCCGCGCAGAGACTACAACTCCCAGAATGCCGTGCGAACCCGCCGGGGCGGAGCGTTTCTGCAGGCATTGCCTGGGGCTGGTTCGTACGGTGCGGTGAGACGCGAACGGGCGAGTGCACCTTATTGTTCTCTCCGAGGGGCCTGAAGAGAAAAGGGTTAGCCATGTCGTCCTTAATCAGAAAGGTGATCAGCACCACGAAAGCCCCAGCGGCCATTGGTCCCTACAGGTAACTCAACGTGTGGAGCGGGCCGGACCCCAGGCGTGCGGGATCGGGGGTACGGGACTGAGCCCCCCGGGATCAGAGCTGGGGAGGACCTCGGGGTTCATCCGCAACCTCATCCAACACGCGAGGAAACCTAACCAGGGAAAGGGGGCAACGCACCCGGAGACCCACAGTGAGTTAGGAGCACAATGGGAGGGGGACCTGCGCTCCCCGGAACTTCGTCCAGACGTGGGGTGCCTCGCTAGCAGCCAGCCAGCCAGAAAGTGACTCCGGTTGGAAGTGATCTGTTTTCGAACTTTTTTCTTTCTTTTTAACAGCTTTGGGGAGCTTAAATTCACATACACCCAAAATCCATCCCTTTGTACAATTCAGTGATTTTTACTGTACTCACAAAAAAGTGTAGCCATCGCCACTGTGTGATCTCAGAACATTTTATCACCTAGAAAAGATACCCTGTACCCACTAGCAGTCACTCCCATTCACCTCTTCCCTCAGCCCCTGGCAACCGCTAATCCGCTGTGGGTCTCTCTAGATTTGCCTGTTCAGGACATTTCCTTTAGTAAATGGAATCCTACAATATGGAGTCCTTGGTAACATCTTTCACTTAGCACCGGCATTTTCAACCTTTTTCATTTCATGGCGCACATAAACTAATTACTAAAATTCTGTGGCACACCAAAAAATATACTTTTGCCAATCTGGCCAAAAAAAAAAAAATTAGGTATCGTTTTGATTCATTAACTCTGGACAGATATTGTTGTGTTGGCTGTTGTCCTTTCTGTTATTTGACAGTCTAAGGGAAAAGAGGTCAGTGTCCCTGACTAAATAGTCCAGTATCGGGTGTTCTGAAAATTATTGCGCACACTGGTTGAAAATCGCTGATTTAGCATAATGTTTGGCTAACCCTCTCTTAACTCGAAGGAGTAAATCCTATGTACAGATGCTTAGCAGATCCCTGCACATCTACCTAAGATACTAGTTTTTAGAGCACCTATACAAATGCTTTGCGATGTTTTGAATTCATTTGCTCATACTTACTTCCCACTAGTAAAGTCAAATGCAAATCATGACTAAGATCGTTTCTAAGATTGCCCACGTGTTCTAGGTAAATACACATACTGGTTAGAAAGTCTGTCCTGTGCATGTTTATTTCCACTTGTCAGAAGCGCTGCTAAATAGAAAAGTCATTCCTTTTATAAGAGACTTTATTTTCTTAAAATGTCTAACCTTTAAACTACCGGATCTTATATGCATTCTTGTAGACTTTTACTTTCCTAATATAATTTTTGTTATTTTTAATTCTTCACTAAACTATATTCTGTAACCATTTCTCCTTTTTAAATTAGTCCATAGTGTCGGTTCACTGTTAAAAGAACTAATTACAGCTTGTAAACTTCTGCAGCAGGAACAACGTTGACAGACATGCATTGAGTACCCACCATCTGCCAAGCACTTCAAGGGATACAAAAATGTGTAAGAATCAAAAAAGAAACATTTTAATTGAGTATGTTGTGTGGCAGGCACCATTACAACCACCTTCTTCTCTGAGTCCCATCCCCATTCTCCAAAAAGAAAACTGAAGCTTGAAGTGAACTTGTCCAAGATCAGTCTGTGAATGAAAGTGACAGCTTGTTTTGAACAGTCCTAGCTCCCTTTTCTATTCCACAGTCATGAAAAATAGCACTTCTGTGTGGCAGAGCAATAACTGTTCTTGTAGGGTTAGAAATAAAATGCAAAGGCAGTGAGGGGTACAGAAGATGGGGAGTGGGGCAGGGGGCAAAAGAGGAAAAGAAAAAAAAATTGAAGCCAACCTTTAGGAAGAAAAAGATTTAGGAAGACTCCTCATGGGAGGTAGTCTTTGAGTTGGGTTTTGAAGGTTGGGTTTGCCATTACAATACTGTTGTAAAGTTTGATTTTTAAATTATAGTTGACCCCTGAACAACATGGGTTGACCGGTGGGAGTCCACTTATGCACAGCTTTTTTTTTCAATACTGTAAATGTATTTTCCTAATAACATTTTCTTTTCTCTAGCTTACTTTATTGTAAGAATACGGTTTATAGTACATATACAAAATATGTGTCAATCATCTGTAAGGCCTCTTTCGGTCAATAGTAGGCTACCGGTATTAGTAGTTAAGGTTTTGGGAAGTCAGAAGTTATACGTGATTTTTCCACTGTTGTGGGGGAGGGTGCCGCTATCCTCACATTGTTCAAGGGTCACGTGTACTCTGTTAAAGACGTCAACAGGAAGTCATGGGGGGAAGCCATTCCAGATAAAGGAAATGACTTGAGGCACAGAGGTAGGAGAATATATGGCGTAAAGGTTTGCGGAGGAAGTTTCAGTGATCCAAGTACCATTTTTACTCTTTTTTTATTCATTTGCCAAATCTGTGTAACACCTATATTATAATTGACTTAACACTTTTCATTGAGATGGCTTACTTAATTTACAAAGGAAACTTCACAACCGTACTCTAAGTAGAAAACGACCCAATAGAGGGTAACTGTAAAAAATAAACTCGAGTAAACCAACAATGTTATTAAATTCCAGCTAGATCCTGCAGTGGGCTCAGAACCCAAGGCCTGCTCTCTCTTTGGTAAAGGCGATAGGTTTCTTTAGCTTGATTTCTGAAAGGGATGTTATTTCTCCATGTAATCAGAGGACTAACGTCCTAATTGCTAACACTTCCTGATGCTTACTCAGCACTAGGCACTGTTCTAAGTGCTTTATGTGCACAGGTACTTACTTCACAGCCTCATTTTTCAGATGAAGAAAGAGAATCTGCAGTGGGCTCAGAACCCAAGGCCTGCTCTCTCTTTGATAAAGGTGATAGGTTTCTTTAGCTTGATTTCTGAAAGGGATGTTGTTTCTCCATGTAATCAGAGGACTGACGTCCTAATTGCTAACACTGATGCTTACTCAGCACTAGGCACTGTTCTAAGTGCTTTATGTGCACAGGTACTTCACAGCCTCATTTTTCAGATGAAGAAGGAGAATTGAAAAGGAATCATTTCCTTGCTGTGACTCAGTGTTTATGTATGACTTACACTTGAACTTTGGGAAACACTGGTTAGGAGTTAGACTTTGAATTTTTGTTTTGCTTCTTGCTAAAAATTAGCTTTTAGCCAAGTCTGGATTTTGATGGTTTCCAACGATAAACTAAAGAGTATAAACTTTATTTGGTATGCAGTGAGGAGCCATCACATGTTTTCAAAGAGGAAGGAACATGATCAGATCTCTCTCCCTCTTTTTTTTTTGTTTTATACTTGTCTGGAGGTGACTGGCAACAATGGCTAAGTTAGTCATGCTGCTAATTCACCTCCACAGGTTTGTTTAGCACATCACAAATATCTTTTCTTTTGACACAGATCAGATCTCTTTTAAGAAGAGAATTATAGTAATTTGAGAAGACATTAAGAATAGTTAAGGGAGTATTACAATAAAAGTAAAAATCAGTCATCTTTTTCCTTCTGCCCTGATCCTTCTCCCTCAATCACCCAATGGTTTTACTTCCGTGACCCTTAACAAAAACAAAGGGGTTATAGCCCGGCTGATGTGACTCAGTGGTTGAATGTCAACCCATGAGCCAGGAGGTCACGGTTCAATTTCCAGTCCAGGCACATGCCCAGACTTCCTCCTCGATCCCCAGTAGGGAGCATGCAAAAGGCAGTCGATCAATAATTCTCTCTCATCATTGATGTTTCTATCCCTCTCTCCCTCTCCCTCTCTCTGAAATCAATAAAAACATTTTTTTTTAACAAGAGGGGTGGGGATCATAAAGCCTGGAGCATACACCTTCTTCCAGTATGTACTTTGTTCAAGAAAGAAAGCATGAGAGTAATATCCCTGGTTGACTCAAAGGCGGGGGTCAACTATCTGTAAAGCTGCAAGCAAAAAAGAAGGGAATCTTTATGTGAATATGCAAGTAGGACAAGGGAAAAGCCATCAACCAGAGCTCCATTGTGTGGGGACTTTTCAGGACATTGTGCCTCTTGTGCTTTTCTGTATCCAAAGATGATACAAAGCCACTTGATATGGTATGAATTTTCAATATTTTATGGAGAGAAAAAAAAAACATTTCAACTAACGATTTATATCCTGATAAAGTGAATTGGACACGTTTTCTAACCATTTGGAAACAAGAGTTTTGGTGCATGGAGTGCACTTTTTGAAAATTCTGGGCCCTCTCCAGGAGGAATTCAGATGTGTTGAACTTTCAGTCCCTGGCATTGGGATGGATGGGGTGTTGTCACTAATTAGCTAATCAGTCAGCACATTTCAGGGATACTTCAGGTCAGAACCTTGAGAGATTGCCACACCACGTTGCTATTGCATTGCTTTCCCTTTTGCTAGCACACCATCCAAATAGTCGTAATGTTGAAGTGATGGTTCAGGTGGCACAGATTATGATGTGAGAATTATTACTAGGATGTTTTTGAAGAGTTTTATTACCCTTTGACTTGGTTGTAGAACAACATGCTTTTACATTTTCTAGAGCCTAATGACTTGTTTACAGGTAGGATTCTTATGCCCAGGACGCGTCAGCTATCCAGTTATGTTTGTGAACAACCTCTACTAACTCATAAGAGATAACTCACATGACTTCTGAGATCATCTCAGAAGTCCAGGGCTTATTTTAAATTTTCTGAGAATGAGTTCCTTTTTATGGTGGAAAAAATATTTTAATGATAATGCGTATGGGCTTAAACTACATTTCAGATATGGGGAGGGTTAAAGGTACTTTTCAAAGGGCCGAGGGTAGCCTCATTCTGCACAGAACAGTTAATAGAGACAGTGCTAGCTGACAGTACTGTTCAACCCGAGAAAAGCTGACACATTAACAAACTCAGTAGTTACCTATGTGTGGGCTAGGGTGAAGCCAGATGGTGGAGAAGAATTCCCAGACTTTCTAAATCCTGTTACCAAGTTTAAAGTTAACCTCTTCAGTTCTCCACAACCCACACTAAAAGCCAGTAGGTCCTCCAAAAAAGATACTTTAGTGAAAGTCCAAGTTGTTGAAGCTGCCAAGTAGTTAGAGAGCAAAACATCAAGAAGTTACCATGTTCCCGCTATGTGTAAGGAATCACCTAGGCCCTGCACAGCCAGAGACATAAGAAGGCACTGCCCCTGCCTTCAAAGAGTTTACAGTCAGGCACACCCAGGAGTTAGGATAAGAACAGAACTAACTATCCCCCTGTGCCTGGTATAAGAAAGGCTCCACCAGAGGACCTCTGGGGCTCAGAAGACAGAAAGGCTTAGTTTTGCTCAGGAAAAACGTGTGTGTGTGTGTGTGTGTGTGTGTGTGTGTGTGTGTGTGTGTGTGAGATGGTTTTCAACGTAGTGTTTACAGTAGCAAAATATTGGAATCAATGTAAATAGTTAAAGTAGATCCAGACAATGAAATGTGCCACTGTCAAAAGAATGAGGAAGCAGACTACACATAGAGTTGTCCCCCCAAAATGTATACACACACTTTGAATAATTATAAAGGCAGTGTTTATTAAAATACATTTCATTTTCTGAACTGAGCTATCAGTTGTTAAAGTGTGTATACATTTTTGGGGGACACCCTGTATATGTATGGGAAAATCACGATATACTGTGGAGTGAATAAAGCATACCAGGTGTAGTGTAAATGGGGAGAGAAAATTTATATTCATTTTTCTTCATATGTGCATGAGGAAACTTTGGGAGAATGTATAGAGAAGAGCAATGGTTATCTGTAGGGCTGGGAACTGAAAAGATAGAGGATAAGGATAGAAGAGAGACTTTACACTGTGATTCTTTGTATATTTTATGGATGTTTGAACCATGTGAATGTTCTCTTGTTTAAAAAATTATAAATTTTATATTTAAAAGTATAAAGAAAAAAAAGTTTTAGAACATTTCCCTCCTCTTCCCCCCCACCTGCCCTCAAAAGAAAAATTCCCTTGTTCCTATGGCCCCAGGCAGCCAATAGTCTAATTTCTGCTGCTATTCCTTTATCTTTTCTAGAATTTCATATAAATAGAATCAAATAATATATAGCCTTTAGTTGAATCTATCTGTGGGTGTTTTAAAATTTTTTTTAATTTTTGCTGTCAAGAATAATGATGTTCTTAATATTCATGTAAAGTCTTTAGACTTTTAATTTTTCTTGCCTGGGAAAGAAATTGCTGGGTTGTATGTTAAAATTTTAAACAACTGCCAAACTATTTTCCAAAGTGTCTGAAATGTTTGCATTCCCACCAAAAATGTATGAGGGTTCCAGGAGCCCCACATCCTCACCAATACTTAACTGTCAATCATGTCCTATTATGTGTGGTGGTGTCTTATTGTGGTTCTGGTTTACATTTCTGTAAATAGCTAATACGTTGGGTATCTTTCATATGCAGAACTCCCTAGCTCTTCATATGTCTTCTTTTATCTGTTCAAATCATTTGCCCACTTTTTTTTTCATACTTCACCTATTTATTGAAAGTATCCATCACTGGACCACCCTGAGTTCAAACATTTTCTCAAACTTTAACTTAAGAATCATGATGAAGAAAGTATCTAACCAATGGCATGGGAACAGTGTGCACTGTATGATCCCAGGTAATGTGGCTTCTGAGGATTCAGGAACGCCCTGGGAGAACCTCTGCCTTAGATCATGACAGAGTTTTTCTATAGAAAGATTAGTTTACAGAAGCATCGCGTACTCTTTCTAGAGTAGTTAGTCCGATATAATCCGGACATGCCTGAGATGATCACAGGCTTCGACAGACTCCTCAAGTTCCAACAGGTAACGAGAGCTCAGTGCCACTCCACGTGGGCTATGCATATATGAGAAAGAGCCCTTGAAATCCCTGGGCGGACTAAGCAGACAAGCAATCAGTAAGAAGTTAGAGCTGTGGGCATATTATACACTTCAACTAACACTTACAGTAGCACTCTGGAAATCTCCTTGTCTCAGAAGTCTTTGATTCCACTAGAAAATAACTCTTAAAAAAGAAAGAAAGAAAAGAACTCTTGTTTTCAAGGCCCTTTCTCCTCCTGTTAAACACATTTTAAATGGTGAATCTGAAAAGGGGAGATTCCCAGGTGCCAGGAACAAACAGAGAAATTGAATCAGAGCCAAAAGAATGAGCTGAAATATGAAGTCCATGGGGATTTGAGACCTAGATACAGGCCCTAGGAGCTGGGGTCCTAAATTCCTACTTAAAAATAGAAGACGATGTCCTGGGGGTATAAGTTTGAGGTACTGGGAAGAGACCCCTCGACAGCCTAGGAAGGGCTACAGTGAGAAGCGGTGGAAGAGGACTAGGAAACACCACTAGCCCGGCAAAGCAGTAAGAAAGGTTGCTGCATGTCCTGGGGCCTTGTGTTATACTGTATGCAGAACACATCAAAGGCAGAGAGAAACCCTTAACATCAAACAGGGAGGGAACAGACTCCCTAGAAAGGCAAGACATCACTGACAGCAAACACCACGTCAGCAATGACCAAGGCAGAGGACCATGGAGAACGCTTCAAAGTGAAAAAAAAACTAAACAAGCCCCTGCTGAAAAAAAAAAAGACACACACACACACACATACACAAAATATACCTCAATAAGGAGTATGTGCAAAAAAGAATCATGTAAGTAAATCTAAATACGCCTGACTGTAAAGAAACTAAAAATATACGAAGTTGGGGGCTGGGGCTTGGGAAGAGGTTAAGTGGAAACGCGGAAGAACTAAAATCATAGAACTAACAGGAGAGGAGAGCTGAGTTGGAGTTCTAAGTCCTCATGCTACTCGGAGGAAGCTGGATAAACGTGAGAATTTAAGTCAAATATGTATGTAACAATGCAAGAGTAATTACTAAATTAGAAAAAATATGTTACTGCCAAACCAGAATTTTAGGAAATAAGAAAAACTCAATCAATACTTCAGAAGTCAGAAAAGGGGGGAATCAAAGAATAAGACATGGAAAAGCTAAGAATAAGATAACAGAAATAACTAAGTATATGAATGAACACATTATTTTAAACAGATTAAACTCTCCCAATTTAAAAAGGATGCTTAGACTAGGAGGAATATTAGAATTAAAAGAAAATTAAAATTAATTCCACAAAAATCAACATCAGTTAGAAAGGTGCTACTGTTTCTCTTAAATAAAGAGCTGGAGCAGTGAGCAGAATGGTTTTTAACACCCCAGTGGCCGTAACAGTCCCGTAGACTGCTACAAGCGTTCTGGACTCCCTGATTCACCAAGTTTTACAAGCGGCGAGTGGCCTCCGAATTCCACAGAGCACTGAGGCTTATTCTTTGGAGAATCAGTGAATTTATCTGCAATAGAAAACAACTTTATATTCTCCCCCCCCCCCCCCCTTTTTTTTAGAGAAGCTCTTAACAGGGCAGTGATTCAAGTAAAGTGTGGCTCTTAAGACACTGGAAAGACTTCTTTCATGATCATTAGGCCAGTCTTTGATGCTAATGTAAAAGCAGTGATTCACAGCGACCCAGGGAGCTCCTTCCTTCACCAAAGCAGCAAAACCAGCCGTGTTACCGGCGCTCCAGCGGTTTTCATGACAAGCCAGCCACGTTTCACTGTTTGATCTCTATGGTCTTTCCCGTTTCTAAGATGGGTTCGCAAAACAATTCTTGATGGCATCAGCATGCCCTGAAAGGACAAAAAAGAGAACTAGCTTCACTAAGAAGCATCAGAATTCCATTCGGTTACATGCTGAAAGAAAACAGCATCATTTTCACATAACAATTCCTTTAAAGCCTTGACTTGAGAGACAACAGGAAGAAGAATGTCACCGGAAAGAGGCCTTCATTGTTCTGCTCCCGGTCACGAATCATCCAGAGTTCAGAGAGCTTCACCAAGGCCTCTCCTATCATATCACTAATCGTGCTTACAAGATTTTGTAAAACAAGGCTTTTGTGTTGGGGTGAAAACAGATTTAGGGAAGGTTCTAGCCTTTTTCAAATTAAGCCACCTTCTTAGCAAAACAGTGCCCACTGTCCAGATACTTCCTGGCTGGGCAGACATAGAGGCTTCTCCAGCTTTGTTGGCTCTGGCTTCTATTAGCAAGAACCTTGCCGGCAAGAAAAAGCATTGTATCCCTGCACACTCAGTCTTTAGAGCAAAATCAGAGGACACACAAGTTTTGTCCTACTTTCTTTTTCTTTTCTTTTTCATTGTATTTTTAAAACATATTTCCATTTAAACGAGACTCTGCATAAATACAGATGGCATGGTAAATTTTCCTTAATTCTTATCCATGAAAAACTGGTATATCTCCACATGTAGCAACAATGAAAACTGAACATAAACTGCTTATACTTCATTTGCCCATTTTTTATTGGGTTATTTGTCTTCGTATTATTGTTATAAGAGTTTTTCTTTTATATTCTGGAGACGAGTCCTTTTAAGGTATATGTTTTACAAATATTTTCTCCGTGTGACTTGTGTTTTCGTTTTCCTGATGACATTTTTCAGTAAGCAGAAGATTTCAATTTTAATAAAGTTGATGATCAGTTTTTTAATTTTACATTTTGTGCTTGTGTCCTAGCAAAGAAATCTTTCAGCCCTGCATTTTCTGTTTCTATTTTATCTATCTGTTCACTGCAGTCAAGCTGTGTTAGTCGACAGGACCCTTTACATCTCAGGACAGCTGGGCCTGGACCCTTCCAGTGGACAGCTTGTGCCAGGAGGGGTGAAAGAAGAAGCTAAACAAGTAGGTCATTTTCCACATTTGATGTTTTCTTCCCTATTACTTTTTAATTTTGAGGAGTATTAAAAACCCACTTGGTTAATTTGTTTTAGATAAATTACCAGATAAATGCTTTTTAAGTTACTTACTGATTGATTTAAGACAATTGCATGTCAGTAGAAAGTTAGGGGGGGAAAATTAATTTTTTAAAATTGATTTTAGATAGAGAAGGGGGGAGAAAGAGAGGGAGAGGGAGACGGGGGGGGGAGAGAGAGAGAGAGAGAGAGAGAGAAACATCTGTTTGCAGTTCCACTTGTTTATGCATTTATTCGTTGATTCTTGTATGTGCCCTGACCGGGGATCGAACTTGCAACCTTATCGTATTGAGCTACCCAGTCAGGGCAAAAGTTGGAAATTTAATGAATCATTTAACAACCAACCAGTAAAACAAATATACAAACAAAAAGATTATTCCTTCCAAAGTGACTTTAAATCTGAATTATTGGCTGTTAACTAAACTTATTATGGTAATCATTTCACAATAATACTTCTATCAAATTATCATGTTATACACCTACAACTAGTACAATGTTATAAGTCAATTATATTTTAATAAAACTGGGGGGTGGGAGCCCCTGAATTATTGAAATCAGATAGCACCTTGCCACTTCCATAAGGATTGGGAAATTTTTTTTATCAGGGCCACTGACCCATATAAACAACCTCACCACCACAGAAGCAAAAGTCAGCATTTGTTAGTAAGAGAAAAATATCAAAGATTACATGCAGTATGTTTTCTAAGTAATACTGGGGAATACAGTTTAATCCAATAAGTGGAATTAAGTTATAATTTAATGCATTCACTGAGTCATTTGTAATATCCATAAAGATCCAGTTAAATAATTATTTTTTTAAAAAAGCTTCCTAAACTGGTCTGCCTTTTTAATTTTTTAAAAATATAGTTTTATCGATTTCAGAAAGGAAGGGAGAGGGAGAGGGAGAGAGAATAGAAACACCAATGCTGAAAGAGAATCATCATTGACAGCTGCCTCCTGCATGCCTCCCACTGGGGATCGAGCCCACAACAGAGAGTCAGAAACATCAATGAGAGAGAAACATCGATCAGCTGCCTCCTGCACATCCCCCACCGGGGATGTGCCCGCAACCAAGGCACATGCCCCCGACCGGAATCAAACCCGGGACCCTTCAGTCCGAAGGCCGACGCTCTATCCACTGAGCCAAACCGGCCAGGGCTAAATAATTCTTATAAGTGAATCTCTTCTTGGCCTTCCTCCAATTGAATGATCTGCCTGAAATGGGATGAGCCATGATCTCCTTTTGTGAATAAAAAGTCGCTTCCTCAGTGCTAGAATGTGTGAAGTTCAGTAAGCTAAAACAGAAATAATTTCTGGGGTTCCTATGCTCTATCACTTTGATACCATAAGTATGAGCTAACAGGCATTAAAACATGTTTTCTTTTAAAGTAATATTTGATTTTGAAGAGTTCTTTTTCCTTTTTCTCAAAAAATCAATAAGTATTAGTAAATTATATATGTTTGGCACTCTGGCCTTTGGAAAAACATCAACTTTTCACCTTTGTCCTTAACTTATTATTTTGTCAATTCATTCTTCCTCTCTACTTTACTGGTCACATTATAATATTTGATGATTTTTTTTGTTCTTTAAAAAATAATTAATCTAAATAGGTAATACATAGATAAGGCAAAAAATTCAAAAGCTATAAAAAGCATATGCAGTGAAAAGATATATCCCACCCTTAGTCCCCCCTCTCCCCAGTTTCCTTCATTACTGTTCTTTATACTAGTATGTCCTTCCACAGACAGTCATTGCCTACCCCAGCATAAATGTACACACACACACACACACACACACACACACACACACACTTATGACTTATTGTGCATGCTATTCTGCATCTTGGTTTTATTTCATCATGTAACTCTTTATGTGTTGACCTTTTCATATTAATTTAGTTGTATGGATCTAGTGTGATTTATTTTAGATTTATTTAGAGGTGGCCTAGAAAGAGTATAATTTCCTAAAAAGGGGACATTTTTCTGCAACATAAGCTATTTAAGGAAGTATTAGCAAAAGATGATTGATTGGATGGAATTACAGCTTTAATGTAACATCCATGCCTTAGGCCTTGCCTTGCTTCACAGGCTCTTACAAACATGGGTGAAATCCTGAAAGCTGCAGGCTGCGACTTCAGTAATGGTGAGCAACTTGGTATTACTCCCTTTTCTGTTGGGTATTTCTTTGCTCTCTTTGGAGAACACATGACATCCCGTAATATGTCATGCCATATCCTTGTTGCTTATTAAAATAGTTTTAATTTCAGTCCCATTTTAATCAAGACAGTCATAGAACTAGACACTGTTTTTTAAGTAATGTTTTGGATTAGACCAAAAAGCTAACCCTAATGACAATGTATGTATCTTCTAGTGGTCAAAACAACTGTTTTGCTGGCTGACATAAATGACTTCAGTACTGTCAATGATATCTACAAACAGTGTAAGTAATTCGGCTTTATTGCCATTTTCCATTTTAAATAGAAATGAATGTATTAGCTTCAATGAGTGTGCATTATGAATTAAGAGAGGAGATGCTAAAAAATATGGTCATAGATCTTATCCTAAAAGAACGGATAGTCTGATTGGACACATATAGTGTGCCTCCATGAGAAAATCCAAGACATTTATTTATATTCTATTCCCTAGAATAATATACTACAGCCCTATAAATCCATTTTCCTAAAGCTTAATTTTGTTACGCCCTTATCAGGCTTTTTAAGCCCTCCTAATGATTTTTGAACATAGATTGTATTTATTATCGCTATGATACGGTCTAGCCACCGTCTCTTTCTTGGCTCTCAGAATCATCCGCTGTTTAGTGACTGAACATTTCTGTGCGTTGGCTTCCCCAGATATAAAATAGGGATAAAACCTAATAGGGTTGTTGGAATGCCTAAGAGAGTCAATACAACATGTAAACACATTAGAACAGATGCCAGTGTGTTGTACGCACTTGGTAAATGTTATCTATCTATCAACATTGTTGTCTTCGTGGAGAAAATGGGTGTCCCTACCAACTGGTGAGATGAGACTAAGGTGTAACTTGGGAAAAGCATCATTGCGTACTCTGAGCTGAAGAAATGGCTGGAGTAAACCGCAGTTACAGGCGCGGTGCCTGCCAGAATCGCTGGGGGATGGGCAGCTCTTCCCCATTTAGATCCTTGTTTTATAACTTTAAAAACATCAAATAAGATCAAAGTGAGTATTTTCACTTTTCCCCCCGAAAACTAAGACATTTTAAAAAGTACTAGAATATCGCATAGGACTCATATGGCAAAATATTTTACCAAACAAACACGCGTATGAGCTCCTTTGTCTGGTGTCGCACGTATCTAAGAACCAAGAGGCCTGTGAAGTGCTTCCTAGAGCTCAGGTTCTGCAGGGCTGGGTACCAATACAGCATCTGAGAGCTAAAACGCAGTTCTGTTACATTTAGATTTCAAGAGCCATTTTCCCGCGAGAGCTGCTTACCAGGTCGCTGCTTTGCCTAGAGTAAGTACACCTTAAGATGCCTAATGTACACAATTTTAAATTTCTACACTGCTTTCTGAAGAGAACTAAGCACTGTAGCAGGAAACTTCCTTAAAAGAAGCAGCAGTTCCAGCTTTCCAGGGACTTAAGGTCTAAAAGGAAACACTCAGAATTACATGCATAGGGGGTGGGGGAGATTAAGAAACTTAAGAAAATTTAAAAATTAGTCTTAAAAATTCAGAAAGTTAAAAATTAAGGCCACACATGAACACAACACAATCAGAGTACTTACATTGTGAGAATAAGTAAAATAGCAGCGATAGTGTTTCATTGTTCCTTAGAGACTATATAAATTGAGCCAGATTTGTGAGGGGTTGTTTTAATTTAATTGGTTG